AATTTTTAGTTATTTGGCTCAAAACATAAAACAATAAATAAAGAATATTTATAGAAAAACAATTATTTCTAGTACTTATGACGTTATGAAATTGATTTTTACTCATGTACTTTGTAAGCCTTGCCATAAAACCTTATTTATTCTCTCAAGTGAAGATGGAAGATAAATTAATTTTTTAGATTACAAAGTTGCATTTTAGAAAGCCAAAAAATGATCAAATTACTATCAATTACACATAAAATCGTTAATTTATCTGGCTTTCTAACTAAACTATATGTGGATTAAAAAGTCTCATTTCTGTTCACAGCAATGACTTAATCAACAAATTTCCACATTTCCAGTAAAACCCGAGCTTCCCCCTTCAAAACAGTTACAAATAACTGTCAGAATTATGTAGTTTGAAATATGCTCTTTCTATTGGTTATAAACATGTACTTAAGAGAAATAGGCATGGGTAGACAAGATATTTCAAATGAATGGAGAAGTGGAAGAGTCTGTGCTGATAGGTTTGCTAAATATATTGATATCTCAGCAAATCAAAAAGGTGAAGGTTTTATATTTTATACTCCAGCTTGTCAGTATCTGAAATTTGAGTTTCTGATTTTTTAACAACTCTAGACATATGGTAGGCGTAATACAATATAAATTGATCAATAAGACAGATGACATTCCATGTAACACACATACACAAAAAAAGATTATCTAACACTTTGTTTTTAATATTTTCTTTCAAATTAAAAAATTAAAACACATTTAATATTAAAATTTGAATTATAAACTATGTTTTGATGACATTTTTTTTTTACATACGTTGATAATAAAGTTGTTTAATTAAAGTTTGAAAATAACTAAAATGTTGTGATATGAGCTTTCTGACCTGTCCATAATGAGAGGGTTAATATTAATGATTGCAGAATTTGCAATGAAAACATTCATATTTATATGCTGCACTTCAAAATTCAATTAAACAGTTCAACACCACAAAAGCCCACAAGACACACTTACTGCTGCTTAGCAAAATAATGGAATATTGATCATTTGTATGGAGACTTCCTAAATTACTGACCATTTTTGCATTGTGTAAGGAGGTTCCCACAACATAGAAAAATAAAATAACAAAATATTTCAGCCTCATGTGTATTGATCACACGCTAATTATGATCATGAAATAGTTGCTGTAATAACAGATTCTGCTGAAATAGACATGTTCTTTTTTTTATCCATAATGTCATATATACATTTTTATACATTATATAATAAATTATAGCCTGTATATTTATTGTGGGGTCCTGGGCTTCAATTCCTAAAGCCCTTGCATTAATTCAGTCCTTTACACACTGTTTATTTAGCTTTGCATGTATAAATAAAGATTGTGTTTCACTTTACACCATGTGTGCAGTCTTTTTATTTTTTATAAAACTCTGTCATTTAGCTAAACTTTGCAATTTTCCTGCTTGATCCTCTCTTTATAAAGATGAGCTATTTGATACTTGTGGGGAAATCAGATGCACTGAGAATACCACAAATATACCAAACCAGCTTCATTCGATTTAAATATTCTGTAATTGTATAATGCACTTACAGTTAATGTAATTTTTGCTAACTTTTTTAAGACCAGTATGAAATGTGTATTTTTTTCATCCACAAAAACCTCATATGCACAATGTTCTATACATTTTAATCCTATAGCTTGTAATGTTATCTTGACATTACATATTGTCAAGGATTTTCCTATTAGTTTTCCAAGTATTTTCCTGGAAAAATATCCATTTGGAAGTATGTAAACCTTGACTAAGTAACTGTGGGCTTCTGTGTTAATTAAATTTGAAACAGTTACATTTTTTTATCCTGATTATATATAAATTGCATGGTATAGATAAAAGATTTTATTTTTAAAATATTTACTGATCTACTACAATGCCCACAGGAGTACATGGAGTGACTGCATTCTGTAGTAGTTAACACATGAATTTGCTTGTCAACAGCTGAGTAAAGCAGCTGTATGTCAAAAAAGATTTTATGGCAAAATAACAGTAAAACAAAAGTTTGAGCTTGTTGACTAGATATGGCTGTGTTATGTGCCTGCAGAATGTAAGCAACTTGGTCCTTGCTAGAGTTATCTGTTGAATACATTAGCAGGGTGAAGCTCTGTGTCACTCGTAGTATTTAAAGAGCTTCTTTGGGAATCAGAAGTGGATAATTAGATTGACTGATGATTATAGCTTTGTTTCTGTAATCTTGACTTGGCTGATGAAGAGGAAGATGTTGGAAAAATATATCTGATAGTTTGTGAGAACTCAGATGAGGAAATTCAAGTAAAGGAGCAGATTGAGAAACTGAACATGGCCTCCTAATAATTACAGCTAGGATAAAGTGCTTGATCAGCAAACTAAGATGGTTAGTTAGCTAATAGATCAACAACTGAAAAGTAGTTACAACCTTTACTTCCCAATCTATTTAATGATATTTGTCAACAAAGTGCTCGTGTGATATACTGAAACAATTTCTTGAACTATGTGGTGATTTGTATAAACTTTTCACAGAGCAAAGTGGACAGTACTCATTCTATTAAAACAGTTAGGCCAACTTAGGTCATCAGAAAAAGTGCTAGAATGCTTATGTATAGTGGCAAATTACTGGGATCTCTGATAAACTAACATACTGAAAGGATTTTGGAATCCTTGCTTTCTGAGCACTTAATTTAAGCTTTTTGATGAATGTTGGTGGACATTTGTTTGTAAAGAATTTATTAGTGATTGTTAATGTTAGTTGACATTACTTTGTATTGTTTCACAGTGTAACATCATATCTGTGCATCTGGTACATCATACAAATTTCTCTGAAGTGCAGTATGGTAACACCACTTTAGTGCAGCATAAAACATTTACTTAGATTGTATTAATCTTGATAGAGTGAAAAATTGTTTTGTTGGTTGATCAATTAATTTTTTTTGTCTATTAAAGATAGAAAAATTTTCTGATTCCTAGATGTTGATACTGTCATTGAAAGCATAGGGACTAAGTTTTTCTATTGTCCTTGTACTTATACCACTTTGAATTTCATATGTTTTGAAGTTAATAATGCAAAATGTGACCTGGATGGTTAATTTTGGTAGGAAAACGGTTTCTGCTGATTTCCATCCATGGTTAATTTTCAAAATTTTCATATCATTTGAATTGGTGTTGTGCTGACTATATTCTTTGTTCTGACCACACACATGGTTGAGAAAACCATTAAGTTGATCTTGTTTCAAGTTATCTTTGTTCCTTTGTTTGTGCTCAAAGTAGATAATATTTGTTATCACTCATGGAGAACATTATATATATTAATTTGTGTAAGAATCTTAACAGAAGTGTCCTTCAGTTGTTGTTCAGGCGATATCTAGAGGTTATGGCTCCACCTAATGTAATAACAATAACCAGCCATGTAGTAGTTCATGTTGCCCTGGGTAAGTGAGAAGTTTCTTGGAAACTATAAAACCTGGTACTTAGTTAGTCTGAAACTTTTCATCATTAAGAATATGCTTGTTCTGAGCATTTAGAAAAACAGTCAAGTGAAAATTAGCAAACTGAAGAAACTTATCAAATATCTGATAATTATTTTTCAGTGACAGTTTGATAGTTATTTTCACTCGCTGTAAGCTGAAAAGTACTTTTAAAATCCACATTTAAGGAACATTTATCTTTGTTGATGTAATAAATCATATTAACAAGCTGAAAAATTGTCAGAGTCATAACTGAGATCAAACAGTAAAGGTCATTTTGGTAAAGGAAGCACTGGCATTGACTGAAAATAATTATTATGAAGGAAACTCAAATAATTACGATATTAATTACTGAGATGATGAATTGCCAAATGGGCAGCAGATTAAACATCCAGCAGTCAAGGATGTTGCTACTCTCAATAAGAATGGTATTGACACAGCCAGTGCCAGACTATTTTGCACCCTAGGCAAGGCCAGCTACTTGCACCCCCCCAAAGAAAAATTGCCATCTTCGATATTTAAGAACAGATGTTTTGTAGAAAAAATAAAAAGCACAAAACTTTTATTATATTTTTTCTTAAAACAAATAATTTGTATAAAACTGTGACCCTTAAAGGTCAGTACTTGCACCCCTCTGAGGTCTGCGCCCTAGGCGGCTGCCTAGTTGGCTTAATGGTAGTGCCGGCCCTGGGTATTGAATAGCATCTACCACAAGTTCTTGCAAAAAATTCTATGGAAGATGTACCACGTGTAACTGCATTATGCATTGTCTCATTCCAGAAAGAACTGATTTAATCTAATAAAATAAAGACTTATTATATGATAACTAGTAATACTTTCTGTAGATAGATGTAGTATAAAACCCAGTTAAACCAAGCATTATAGTTAACATAGCCTGCAAGAGCCTGAATTCAAAACCTCTTGTTTGCATCCAGCCTGAACTTGCAACTCTCCCCACTTTCAGTCAATGGTTAAATCCACCTTACATTGTTTTTCAATATACTAATACTATGTAAACCTGAATTTATGTAAAATATCAATGAATTTTGAGAAATTGAAAAATATAATAAATTTAATTTTTGAGAAAATCATCTTTTGCATTATTGGTAAGATGTAGACCATTTTCTCTCTAATTATTTAAAAACACAAATTTGTGTAATTATCTGAGAGACAAATTTCTCCTTTCATAATACCTGTAGCTGCCTAATTTAGTTACTTATATTTCACATTTAAAGACATTGCAAAAAAAAATCTTTGTTATATTTTAATTTATGTAAACAAATGTGACATAATATAAGCAATAAGCCCTCTCCACAGATTTTGAAGTCTCTGTTTCTACAATTTGTTCTTATAAAACAGGACAGTTGTGTAGAAAAAATATATATGAAGAATTTTTAAATATATGTATTATATTTGGTGCATAATTTTGAAGATAAGAAACAATCAAGAAACAAACTAAGAAAAGTCTTAGTTATAGCACTGACTTAAAGGTTCTAATTCACAATGTTTTGTTTAGATTTTCCTGAGAGCTCTACACAGTATAAACTACTTATGGAAAATCAGAATCCAGTGGCTTCATGCCCTCAGTTGATCCCTCAATCCCCTGAAGAAGGTAAGAAGAAGAAATCTTTCTACTCATTAAATAAAGTAATAAAGATGTCCAATTCAAGATCATGAATAAGATAATTGTAAAAGTGTTCTCTAACTGGTTAAAGCTGTTAGATGGAAGAATCAAGTATCTGAATAAGATACATATGGATATATAAATAATTTCTAGCAAAACTCAGTTTAGAAATGGTTTTAAACATACTAATGTAATTAAATAATCATAACCAGTAGTTTACTTTCCTAACAGTATAAAGAACACACGTTAAGTTAATACCTCACAAATATTTGCATACTTTATAGATGGCACCACAAAAGGTAATTGGTGGACTGTGCTTTCATTTTCATAATGCATTATCTTCCTTTCAAGTGTTTATTACATGTTGATTTACTCAAAGTAATGAAAAAAGTTTCCCATTAATTTACTGTCTGCAGTTTATTGCAATGTGTGTCTTTTGTTGTTATTTAAAAATAAACACTGAACAACAGTTACATCATTACATATTGTTACGTCTCCGTTTGTTAATTGATTTTCCGTAACTTCTTTCCGACGAAACTTTAACGACACAAGTCTTTACTTAATAAAACTGGTTTATTCTTTCCGAATATAACTTTACGATACACTTAATTTCAATATTCGCGCTAAAACAAACACTATAACGAACGAACGTTAACTTCAACAATACGTCTCTCTCTGACCGCAGTTCAATTACTCATTACCTACACACACAATACCGCGTCACGTTGTCACCCTCTTATATATACCAGACTACCCTATATCTAGTAAATACTAGAGCATTCGCCAAAGTACAGGATAGTTCTAGAAAGTAGAGGGCATGAGAATCACGTGATCTCGATGAAGCAACAATATGTTTAGTACAATCATGGTTAAGTTTAGTGCAATTGTAGTGTCAAATTTTGACTAATTTGCTACATTTATATACAAACTGACATAATGAAACAATGTATATTATATTACATAAAATATTTGACATGCTAGTTCTCTCCTAAAATCATTTATACAAATACTCTTTCTGTGTACAGTTTTATTTCAGAATAGATTTATTAAAGGTTTAGTTAGTTTCCATTAAAACTGCTGTGATATGTAGGGATATAATCTACTTGCTTTAGTTATATAGAAATTTGTAAAAATTTTTAGTTGATTAGTTTCCGTTCTGTAATGGCAGCAACACATGATCCAGAAAGTCGTTAGGATTATCTTGTTCTAGTTGCTTTATTTCTCTGTTTGCTTTAAAGATGATGTCTCTTCTGCCAGAGAGGATATCACACTACTATACAGCATTGGGATTAATAGTAATGGCACTGTAATATCATTTGCTGGCTAATATGATGTTGATTGAATGTAACAGCTGTGAGAGAACAAAGGTCTTGAGGTGATGCTTTCGACAAAGAAAGCAAGTTTACCTGTTGAATTATGGCATGTGATTCAGTGATTGTCTGTTAGTGTGTAAAGGTATGTATACTACATTTTCTTTTTGTCTGTTATATAATACATATTGTTGTTATTTCTTTTCAACTCTATCCAGTCTTATTATTTTACACACAGTTAAGTTCACTTTTCTTATTTCATGAACAAATTTACAGTTATTTGCAGATCCACATATCTGATAATAATCACGAAATCAGAAGGTTTTACCTGAAAATACCATGCCATTACAAAACAATCAGTACTTGCTGAGCTAAAAAGATGTATATAAATTTTTATCTTCTTTGCTATTTTGTACAAATTTTATTTTTTACATTGATTACACTGTACATGAAGTGGAATAGCAAAAACTCAATATATATAATGCTGTTATTTTACTCAGTATCTTTAGAGTCAGGATGTAGAATGTTGTGTGGTGCCTTATGCTGAGAAAGTAGGTTTCCATTAAAGAAACTAGTTTTCTAGGTGTGGAGTGTATTTTTATTAATATATTTTAGGTTTTCAAAATGAAATATTAAGCTTTCATAGTATCTGAGTAAAGCACTTAAGTTTTAATATTCTTGATTTTGTTTTATTCTCTTAATTTCATAATCCATGCTGTTCACCTTATTATTTTGTACAATCCTTTGTATCTTTCTTGTATTAAATTCTCATTTACAGTCCTTATCACTTTGGTATTTTACCTTTATAATTTTTGTTGCTTTTTTTTGTATTGTACTTTAAAATCCTGCTAATACTTTCATATTCTCTTGTTGCTGCTTTTTTGTATTTTTCTCTTATATTCTGATTTTACTCATAAAGTCATATTTGGTTGCATGTATTTTTTGGATGTGTTAAATTTAATAACACAGGCCTGCAAATTTAAACTTCGTAAAAGTTGTTTTGGTTTTAATAATGGATTTTTCATAAATCGGCTATGCAGATTTTGAAATAATATTCATTTTTTTCTATCGTTTAAGGATTTTTTACAAATCGGGAAGAAAAAAAATCTTACTTAGATCAAATTATTATTTCGTTTTCCACAATGAAAATTTTTTTTTATTATTATGTTTGTTAACAAAAATACAAACAAACTGAAGAAAAGGGAAAACATTGATATCAAACGAATATGCATCCTCAGTAATCCTGATTTTATTTTTGAAATTTACATCTTTTAGTCTCAAAACTATGTGTTGTGGTTTTTCTTTTATGTATTGCGTCTGGAGCATCTCATTTCAATGACCAGCAATAATCAGCCATCATGCTGATGTTCCACCTTCCATGATACCTTCTCTCCATTTCCCTGATGTCTTGATGAAATCTTTCCCCTTGTTCTTTGCTGATGACACCAATATTTTCAGGGAAGTAGTCAATATGTGAGTGTAAGAAATGAACTTTCAAGCTCATATTACAACTCAACTCTTTGAATTTATCTAGTATGTTATTGACAACATTTTCATAATTTGAGTCTTTGTTGTTTCCTAAAAATTTGTCAATGACATCTTTAAAGGTAATTCACACTTCTTTTTCAACTTTCCTCATTGTCCTTTCGAACTGTTTATCCAAAGTCAATTTCCTAATCTGAGGCCCAACAAAAATCCCTTCTTTAAGTTTTGCTTCTGAAAGAGCTGGGAATTGCCCACATAGATACTTGAAACAGTCTAAGGCCTTTACAAACTGCTTCATCAAGTCCAGTTTTATGTGTAGTGGAGGTAATAAGAATTTCTTTGAGTCAACCAATCTTTCACGTTCAATGTTTTTCAATCCTGGTATCAGTCTGACTCTGCATGGCTATTGCTTCTTTATCCAGTGCTGATTTCATGCTCTGCTGTCCCATCCACACAAAAAACATGGAAACTTTGTATAATCAGATTGTTGACCCAACAATATACAAAGGGCTTTTAAGTCTCCACAGATTAGCCAACCATGTTCTTTGTATTTGACCTTATTAAAAAGAAATTTGAGATTTTTGTACGTTTCCTTCAAGTGAACCAAATGAGCAATAGGAACAGATGCATATATGTTACCATTGTCAAGGACCTTTTATACTTCTTTTGGAGGAATCAATGAACAATCACCACTCACGTGGTTCATAGACTGCAGCTCCTAGCATTAGTATTAACTCAGCAATATTATTGCTGTTACGTCTCTGGTCGTTAGTTAATTTCCCGTAAAAATCCCTTCCAAAAAACTTTACCGATACAAGTCCTTTCTTAAATAAAACTGGTTTATTCTTTCTGAATACAACTTTGCAATACACTTAATTTCCACAGTCGCGCTATAACAAATGCTATAATTCACAACGAACATCTCACGTGCTTGACTCAACTGTCCGTATCTATCTCGGTATGCAGTTCAATTACACATTGTTGCCGTCACTTCTTGGTGGCTTATATATACAAGAATACCGCATATCTAGTAACCTCTCAAGGATTCAGGAAGGGACGTGAACGTTCGAGAATATGACATGTTACTAGCGTCACGTGACCCCCGCTGTCTCAACATTGCAATAAACCAGTGAACCTTCTTGTGAAAAGTGTGGTATAAACTTTTTTTAAGATTTTTTGTACCAGTAAAATGATGTCCCTGGAGAAAGTAAGTTCTTAGCCTGAAGTACGGACCCAAACTCTCTGAATAATGCTTTGGAAGGCCTAAATCTCTCACCAAATCATTAAGTTCATCTTTTCTGTAAAATTATGGTTCAACATTTCAGGTTGAAAACAATCCTATCATCATTTCTAATGACATCAAATTCAGAATCAGATGAAACTCTATCAGGAGTCTCCAGTGGAGTAGGTACAGGTACATCGATCGGGTCCATGAGCAACAGGTCTTATAGCAGATTGAAGGTTCGGATAAGAAATTTCCTTTTTATTTCG